TGATGGGAATAATTTCAATTCGCTTAAATATATGCCAAACTTGAGTGCATCTTCTTTAACAAATGCAACGAATCCGAACAATATAAACAATGTTGCTACTACTGATAATAATTTAACAGCCGATCTCATAAAATCTACCAAAAATATGCTTAAATGTGCAAATGAAAAATTTGAACAAAATAAAATTGCAAACAGTGGTGCTGTTAGTAGTGCAAGCGATACTGCAGTGCATACCAACAATACTAAGGAGATTTATATGAGTCAAAATCAACGAAATACGCTTCAAACGTCAACGTTGGATAAAACTTTAAACAAATCACTCAAATTAACAAGCAAGCAAATGTAGCAAAAACCATCTATTATTGTTAATCGTATGTTTTTAGAATTAGATACCATCGAAACACGGCAGTACTCTAGTACATAAAAATGTATTATGTTAACACTGCCATTCTAGAATTAGGAACATTAAACACTCAATATATTTTAATTTATATATATATGTAAATATATATATATATATACAGATTTTCTCATTTAATTTGTATTAATTTTATATGACTTCGCTTAATAACTTGTAATAGTTATTTATATATAAATATGTATATAAATGTTTTATGTAAGACTTTGTGTGCTTTTTGTCAGCTTTTAATTTATATATATAATTTTTTTTTTGTTTTATGTTAAGATGAAGATCTCACTAATATACGGTCTGTTCCGAAGAACTAAAATTAGTTAAACAATGAAAAAATGATTTTAAACTAATATCGTAAAATTAGCATTAACTTGAAAGTTTAAAGTAGCTTATTAATGAAATTAAAATAAAATTAAGCGATTTTAAGTAGAGCATAATTCATATATATATATACAACATTCAAAAAAGAAAAAAATAATTTACAATATGCAATTAAATTTAAAAATATTAAAAATTAAAAGTAAAACAAAAAAGAAGGTTCTTAGGCAATAATTGCCTATACAAATTAAATTGTTACATAAATTGGAATTGAAAAATTATAACATCATAAGGTTTATAAAATTTTCTCACAAACTATGTCTGTCCATTTGTTATTAAATATTGATTCAGTGGCAACTTGTTTATAAGTTTTCACGTATGTATCGCAGGCTAAACTGGGCCAGGGTTTT